TCTTTCTTTCTTTCTTTCTTTCTTTCTTTCTTTCTTTCTTTCTTCTTCCTTCCTTCCTTCCTTCCTTCCTTCCTTCCTTCCTTCCTTCCTTTCTTTCTTTCTTTCTTTCTTCCTCCCTCCCTCCCTCCCTCCCTTCCTTCCTTCCTTCCTTCCTTCCTTTTTCTTTCTTTTTCTTCCGACCTGGGAATCCCAAAAATGGAACCGAGATCTCCCTCCTTTCATCAACAACCCACCACCACATTTTTCATCCACAGTATTAATACCCAACTCTCCAGGTTGCACATCTGATTCAAATACTGCCATGGGTTGCTTATTTTAGTTTCCCGGGCTGTGTGAACCACAATGGCTACACCACAGTCTGCCCTTCCGTGGCAGCTAATTTACAGGGGGGGGGGGGTTCACTCCCAAATCACTGGAAACTAAAAGTTCAAGTCCTTGTAGTTTTCTCGGCAACATCTTCTGCTTTAAGCCTACTTTAAAAATGAGTCCAATAAAGTGTTTTGTGATCTTGAAAAGGGCAGGCTCCTTTCCTGTTCATTAAAAGCAGATCCCACCCCACACAAACATATTTTCCCCAGAATATACAGAGACTTTCCGGGTCAAAATGAGCCCTTTCTACTTTTTCACCCTAAATTTTGGTATCTCCTCTCACTTCACAAGGTTGTATTCTTCTACTCAAGATCGAAATGGCCAAGGTCATTGGCTGGAGGCCATTCACCTGGACTCCAAGCTCGGAGCTTTGCTTTGAATCTGAAACTGCCTGAGCAGATAGATGGGTGATGTTTCAAGCAGAATCACTCTTGTTTCTTTTCTCAAAGGTTTTTAAAAGGACCGTGTAGGTGAATACGGGGAGTGGTGAGGTGGCCTAGAGGTGGAGCTCTCAACTCACAATCAAGAGGTTGTGAGTTTGATCCTAGGTAGAAGCAGATATTCTCTCTTCGGGCACGAGAATATACTTGCTGAACAAAACTCCGCATTGGTGACAGGAAAGGCATCTGGCCAGTAAACTGCTAGCTCCATTCAGTTGCCCAGACTCCACCCCGCAAGGGATTATAGGGTTGTTAAAAGAAGAAAATAGAGATTTGTAATTTTGTTTTTAAAAAATAAAATAAATAAATATGAAAAAAGAAAGAAAGAAAGAAGATGTTGACTTAGTTCATTCCTCTTCTCACTCAAAATCTAGCTAAGGAAACTCTGCTCTGCCTAAAAGATTCTCACGTTGACTTATATTGTATTATTTTGCCAGCTTGTGGGAGAGAAGGAGCTGCTGGAACTGAGATGCACTTCCTTGCAAAATGATAATCAAATTTACCAAAATCGTATCAAGGCTATTTTAAAGCAGCTGGAAGAGGTGGCTGCTGAAAGAGATCAGGTAAGGATCTGTGATGACCCGTAGTCTCTCAAAATAACCCCAAACCCAAAACATATATTAAAGTCCGGTAAGGCCTTCAACTTAACTTCACTGTTTTATTAGGCACAGTTTAAAGTCACAAAAGTAAATAATGAGGCAAACAGAAAACCAAAACAAACCTCGTTGATGAGAGTTCCAAAGCAAGCCAAGATAACTAATCATAAACTCCAGGAAAATAACCGAGAAAAGTCCATGGGAAGAACACCAGCAAAGCTAAACCTCTTTCAAGGTGACCACTAAATTGACTCCTGCAAATTCTAACTGCGCAGTTGCAAACTTACATACATAGCTCCCACCTGCAAGCCACGAGGAGGATCATGGTAATCTCCTCTTGAGTAGACCTCGCTTTTCCCTGATCCTCTCCTCCCTGCGTGACCTAGGATGGATAGGGGATGGGCCTGGATCCTCCTCTGACTGCTCAGCAGGCCTCTGGCCTTCCCCAGCCTCCTCCGCCACCTCTGGAGTCACACTCCCACTCCCTGTTGGCTGTTCCTCCTCTTCCTCAGAGTCAGTCTCCACCAGGGGCATGACAGGATCACTCTACCTTTCCCCAACCTGGTTCCCTCCATTGGGCTGGATTTCAGTTCCCAGGATGCATCACCCTGTTTTCTCCTCTTCCAAGAAGGCTCCTAAAATCAGTGATTAGAAATGATTATGAAAGAATAGCATGGGTCTCAGCTTTTTAAGAGAAAGGGACTGCTCCATGTTTGTCAACCTTACAATGTCTCAGCGTGTGAGCTTCACGACCCAGAATCCCCCAGCCTGCGTGGCCATTGTTGAGAATTCTGGGAATCAAAATGCACACCGGAAAGTTGCCATGGTTGGGAAAATGCTGAGATCAATGGGAAACTCTGCCCCCTGTTGACTGAGTGTAGGTACTGAAACTGCAGAGCACTGCTTGGGAAAGGATTGTGAATGCTGCCCACTGGTGGCTGATTTCAATACTGCAGTTTCAAAGCAGAAGGGAGATAATTTATAGGGCTCTATGGAAAAGTTTTCCACCTACATCATTTTGGGGGAGGAAGCTCAACCCACATGCAGGCTGCAGATGTGCAGAACCCTTGTGGCTATTCCAAGCGGGGATGACACAGTTCTGGCCCTCTAGTTTGGAGGGGAGGAAATGGAGGAACCCCGCAGAGCAAGGATGGTCAACTGATTCTGCTATGGCAGGTGTTGTGACTCAGAGGTTTGAACCTGCTCTGTCAGAAGACATAGGCTCGAGTGATGAGGAAGATCTGGCATTAAGGTTTGAGCCTGCCTTGTTGAGTGACATAAATGGGAGTCAGGAGGAAGAGGACTTGGCTCTAAGATTTGAGCCTGCTTTGCTGGAAGTTTCGGAGTCGTCTTCCTCTCCAGAAACTTCCTCCCTGATTGTGCCTCAGATGTCGACAGATAATCTGGAGAACGTGCTGGAGTCCTTGGATGAAGATCAAACCGAAGAATGTTGGTTTGATGCAAGGAACAGACGTAAGCAGAAACATCAAGCACAAACTGGAAGGAGACGTCGAATCAGGGACTGAGGAAAGAGACTGACACGCCCCTCAGGGAATATAAGGAGGCGTGTTAGCTTTGAATCCCCGTTCGAGTCAAACTTGTTAATTTGTGTCTGCAGTTTGGACAAAGTGTCCTGTTTGCCGTTCGGCTCTGATTTATAGTTCTGCTCGTTATCAGAATTTGCAGACAGCTTCTGGGAAAACTGCCAACAACGAATTCAGCCAAAGGAAAGTTAACTCTGTTGTTCCTGATATTGTCTGTTCATGTTTTTTCCTTTGGACATTTGGACTCTCACCTCGTGGCCACAGGTGAGACAGAACAGGCAGGAGCGTCAAACTTGATTTCATCAAGGTTGTGTTTGACCTTGGAGGGCTGGGGTGAGCTTGGCCAGGCTGGGCATGGCCAGCATGATGTCACTCATGTTGGGGGCGCCTGTGGCGGCTCAAGCCCTCGGCCAGCAAAAACGGGCTCCTGTTTTCAGCTGCGACAGCCTCTGCCAGCGAAAATGGAACTCTTGAAGTCTGCCTGTGGCCCTCCCAAGGGTTCGTTTCCACTGGCAGAGGCACCGGGTCCTTTGTTGTTTTTGGGACTGCCCCGCAGGCCAGCTCTGGCTCCCAGAGTTTGAGGTTTGACCCCCCCCCCCCCCCGTGTTATGGGGGAAGATCTTGTCCCAGGAGAATACCCTGAAATGGGAAGATGCTTTGGGAGTTACCTAGAGGTCACTTAGATCCCAAGGGTGGCACCTCACCTGACGGGACCTGAGGTACCCCAACACACACAAGCTAAGCTAAAATGGGTTTGTGAGTCTTAAGTCGCAAGAGATTTAACCTGGAGAGATTCAACCTGGAAATAAGGAGAAACTTATTATAGGACAGGGAGAACAATCAACCCAGGGAACAGAAGTTGCCCTTCGAAGCTGTGGGAGTTTCGTCACTTGAGATTTTCAAGAAGAGATTGGATTCCCATCTGTCAGAAATGGTGTGGGGTCTCCTGGCTTGGGCAAGGGTTTGGATTAGATGACCTACAAGGTCCCTTCCAACTCCGATTATCTGTTGGTTCTGTTGGAAGAATTATCCTTCTGGGTTCAGTTCCAAGTGGGAAAAAAGACATTGGAAACAGCTGTTTGGAAAGATGGTTTAATGGTGGACAGGACCACATGGCTTGGAGCTCCAACGAAGGAAGGGCTGAGATGCTGAGAGTGCCCTGGGTTTTATACCCTCTGTTGGGATTTGAATTTGAGCTTGTGTTCTGATTGGTGGTCAGACTCCCCTTGGGCCATGCAGGGGCAACTCTGTAGGATGTCCTGAGTCCCAGGCTTGGTTGAGCCTTGCTGGGTGATGATGTAATGAAAGGGCTTTGGGCAATTTCTAAGGCTCTATCTGGAGTAGAACTTTGTTATGTAGAATATTCTGGCCCAGGAATTAATGGCCCACCCATTAACAAAGGTGGGGGTGAGCTTCTGCTTCTGAGGTAAGTTTCTGCTTCTGAGTTTCTACTCTTTTTAGGGGAAATATCCTTCCTTTTTAATACTTCCCAGGATATTTCATTTTTCTAGGAGAGGGGTGGGTGCTAACTTCCTACAGTTCAGCAACTGGTGAGAACCATTTCATGGCAAATGTGGGGATAGAAAGACATTACAGAGGGTGGTGAGCACAGCACAAAACATTGTGGGCTGCTCCCTGATACCACTAGATGACCCCATTGGGACTCGCTGCCTTAGAAGAGTGAGGGAAATCCTCAGGGACGACTCACACCCCGGTCAGCCCTCCTTCACTCTCCTGCCATCGGGTAGGTAAGCATAGCCAGCACACCAACAGGCTGAAGGACAGTTTCTACCCGTGGGCTGTCAGACTCGTGAACGGAAAATAACTTCATGTCAACATAGTAGGATAGACTTGCAGGGATGGCACATTGTGCAACAAGGTCACATGGTGCAATAAGATTGGGACTGGGCTAGGGACTTCTGTCCTCACTGTGAGTTGTATTGGGGGGGTTGTGCACGAAGGGAGGCTCAGCCAATCTCATTGTACACGTGTTGGACAATAAAGGTAATAATAATCCGTCCCATCTGGTCTGAGCTACTGGTGGGCTTTTCTAGCAGCTGTCTTTGTCTGCCTCCCTGATGGGATTGCTGCAGGCTCTTCTGACCCAGGAGGAATGCCACAAGCAATATTCCCAAGGCCTGAGAGAGAAAGACAGCTACCGGAAGCAGATCCGGGAATTCGGGGAGCGTTGTGACGAACTGCAGCTTCAGCTCTTCCAGAAAGAGGGACGGCTGCTGAGTGCCAAAACCCGGCTGAAATGGCTGTGCCGCGATCCCTCCACCATGGTAGGTTGTTAGGAAAAGGGCCATCGGGAAAGGAGCCGGGGTGGTGCAGTGGTTAGAATGCAGCATTGCAGGCAAAGTCTGCCCACAGCCAGGAGTTCGATCCTGACTGGCTCAAGGTTGACTCAGCCTTCTGACCTTCCGAGGTTGGTAAAATGAGGACCGAGATTATTGAGGGAAAAAGAGGCTGACTCTGTAAACTGCTTAGAGAGGGCTAAGAAGCACTGTGAAGCGGTATATAAATCTAAGGGCTATTGTCCTTCCTTCCTTCCTTCCTTCCTTCCTTCCTTCCTTCCTTCCTTCCTTCCTTCCTCCCTCCCTCCCTTCCCTTCCCTTCCCTTCCCTTCCCTTCCCTTCCCTTCCCTTCCCTTCCCCTTCCTCCCTCCCTTCCTTCCCAGTGGTTAGAATGCAGGATTGCAGGATTGCTCATTGCTCACGATTGACTCAGCCTTCTGTCCTTTTGAGGTCGGTAAAATGAGGACCCAGATTGTTGTGGGCAATGTGCTGACTCTCTTAGAAAGGACTGTAAAGCACTGTGAAGCAGTATATAAGTCTAAATGCTATGGCCATTATTATAGCCGATTGGATGTGCATTAGGAGCCATGGTGGCGCAGTGGTTAGAATGTAGTATTGCAGGCTAACTCTGCCCCCTGCCAGCAGTTCGATCCTGACCAGCTCAAGGTTGACTCAGCCTTCTATCCTTTCGAGGAGAGTCAAATAGGATCCAGATTGTTGGGGAAAATCAATAATCTAAGCGCTATTGCTATTCATATGCATGTTCATTCCTGGCCAGTTATGAGGGATGGGATGTGAGAGATGACATGTCCCTTGCTGGCTCCTGCCGTGAAAAAACTACCAAACACTTTGCTGGGAGTTGGGCAGCAGGCAGGAATAATAAATATGTAGTATTATAATAAACCTTAATTGAGGATAAGTAAAAAAACTGGTCGAATGTGTGGCTGTCAGGCTACAGAACTTTTCCCATTCACTCAAGTAGAATGAACTTCTCAAAACGTATCAAAAAGGAATCCTTTACTGAGACGAGACAATTCCTGTAGGAGTTCAAAGCAGCGTCTGAGGTCCCTCAGGCATACAGGGATACGGAAGGGAGTTTAGAACCCCTCCCCTCATCTCGATGTGCATTTAGTGAAACAAAAGCCAGTATGTTAATTCCTCCCCACTCCTTTTGTAAGGAACAATCTTTTTCACAGTTTCCCAGGGCATACCTAATTTTCCCCCACCCCCTTTTTAGAACAAACTTTTCCAGAGATTCCCAGGATACATCTCACTGTGGAATTTTTATGATCTTCTCATCTCCTGGCTGTGCCTCTCAGAGGTGATAAGTTCTGGCCATCTGGCTTTTCTCCTTCCATTGTATCATGTGTGGGTTATACAAATTCGATATAAGATTAAATATATTCAGGTTACATCAAGAAAGGATTTCTTTATCAGCCTCCCCTCCCCCTTTTCTTCCTCCACTGAAGAAATGACAGATACACGGATCTGACAGTGGCCTTCCTCCTGCAGTCTCTTCCATCTGTCTCTCCTTTATAAATGATTGCTCAAGCTCTGATTATCTTAGGATTCCTTCAGTCTTCTTGTTTTAAACTGTCTGCTCCCTTGAGTGTTATTCAAAGTCAAAATGATGCACCCAAGCACCTATGTATTTAATTAGCAGAACAGCTTGCCTTCAGAAGTTGTAGGTGGGCCACCCCTGGAGGTTTTCAAGAAGAGACTGAATGGAAGAGCCATTTATCTGGAATGGTAGAAGGTCTCTTGCTAGAGCAGGAGATTGGGCTAGCCGCTAGAAGACCTCCAAGGTCCCTCCCAGCCCTACTTTTCTATGTTGTAAGAATCAATCAGAGCAATTAAATATTATATATTTTTTTCTGGGCAACTGGGGTATAGGTAAGTCTTTCAGTGCTTAAGCTGTTTTTAACATCTTGCCAATTAACATCGTTTTGTTCCAGACTTCAGATCTTGAAGAAAACTCATCCCGCAGCTCTCAAGAGGTGAGTTAGGAGTTTCTGCTTCCTTATCTTTACTATTCCGTAGTGGCGCAGTGGCTAGAATGCAGTAGAGCCAGCTAACTCTGCCGACTGCCAGCAGTTCAGCAGTTCGATCCTGACCGGCTCCAGGTTGACTCAGCCTTCCGTCCTTCCAAGGTGGATAAAATGAGGACCCAGATTGTTGAGGGGCAAGAGGCTGGCTCTGTAAACCGCTTAGAGAGGGCTGCAAAATCACCGTGAAGTGGTATATAAGCCTAAGTCCTATTGCTATTGCTATTCTTGCCCCCATTTGAGTAGAGCTGCAGATTCGTGCACCCTCAGGCTCTGCTATTACTATCTGGGGCAGCACATGGGAGAAGAAGGGGAAACTGAAAAGTGTCCAAGCCCTATTTGCTTATATTGCAGGAACTGCATTCACACAGCATACTACAACTGTTTGTTGACTTCATCTTTTGTGCGTTTGCTCAATACACTACACCAAATCATATACAGTATTAAGCAAAAAGGCTGGGTTTCTGCTTACTTCAACTTTAAGAGCTACAAACCAGCTGCATTGCAGTTGAACCAGAAAAAAAACACCAAGCATCAGGAATTCACTATATTTTTGAAATGATGAGATAAAATTTCCATCTCTTCTGCATTAATTGGGTGGATTTAGTTTAAAGTTCTGTGGCATGACATCTCCTTAAAATGCAGGTTTATTTCAAAATTATTACAGGAAACATCATTTGTTTTTGCATTTCCTAAACAAAAAAAAAAAAATTCCTTCAAAAATAGAATATGTTCTCATTTTTCACCCCTCTCTCCCTTTCTTGCCCAAAGCTGACTCCCCATGGAAATCCAGACGAAGATAGGAAAGGCACCAAACCAAGTATGTTTATCTGTGACTAGCTATTCTCTCTATCTCTCTCTTCCTCCCTCCCTCCCTCTTCCTTCCTTCCTTTTCTCCTGCTCTGCAATTCAACCACAAGGAGGATTTTGATCCTGGAAGTCCTACCAATTGATCAGGAAAGGTTACCATGATCTACCCCCCGCCTTCATTTACACCAGTGAATTGTCAGCCAAGCTTGTTTGGGGCATAAGTTTAGCCCTATTTCAGAACCCATGTCCAGAAATGGGCTAACTGCCCATTCAGACACTTGGGGCACATTCTAATATCCTTTATTCCACAAGACCGTTTTGTCTGGTCTTACTGTATCGGTTCCCTCCCCAACACTTTTGAACCAGACTTGTATGCAAGGGGAGCATTTGCAGACCTCTTAAGTGTGTTTACGTGGCCAGTTTTCAGACTTTATTATCATCCTTACCACTCCCTTATTTGCGGAAATTCAAAATTCACCGTACTTGAAGAGTCAAACCTTGAACACACTTTCCACACGGAAAAGTCTTGCAGTTTTCACCTTCTCTTGAGCTGCCGAGAGCTTCCTGATTCTGTAACTTTATACTATTCAATTCTCCTTCCTGCTTTCCTCCTCCAGGAAGGAGCCCAGTGGATGGGGACCTGCCAGAGAAAGGACATCGGCGAATGAAGGACAGTTTTGAGCATTATCGGAGGTAAATCTCCCTCGGCACTGGATCCCTGGGACAGATTCATTCTGATACAATCAAGATCAAGGGAGGCACTAATATCACTTTATAAAGCCTTAGTAAGGCCAATCAAATCAAATCAAAACAAATCTTTATTACAGTTGTGGATACAGATAATTACAGGTAGTCCTTGACTTATAATGGTCCATTTAATGACCATTCAAAGTGACTTACGACCATTTCTCACACTTAGCGACCGTTGCAACATCCCTATGGGCATGTGATCAAAACTCAGGGGCTTGGCAACTCATATTTATGGCCGTTGCAGTGTCCTGGGGTCATGTAACCTAACCGTTGTGATACTAACATAACAGGTGTAGTGATTCACTTAACAATGGTGGCCAGAAAGGTCATAAAATGGGGCAAAATGGACTTAACAAATGTTTCACTTAGCAACAAAAATTTGTGCTCAATTATGGTCATGGGTCGAGGACTACCTATAGTAAGTAACTTTATACTAACATTAGTAATAGCAATTAGAAAATTAGCAATGTGCAGGAGCATAAAAGATGGAATAGGACAGAAATCACTCTTGAGTAATGGATCTGAGGCTCTTTAAGATGTGGTGATGCCACTGTTACCCCCTGACGGAATTTAAGCACTGTTGCACAGAACCTGGCAACATGACACTGTTCTGACCCAGCCTTAGCAAAACCAATAAACAGACTCCTGCTTCCGAAAAACCCCTTTTTATTTAGCTACTGTGAATTCATGGCATTCACACAGAAAAGTCCAGGCAATAATCCTTCCAAGAGTTAACTGAAGTACAGAACTTATCAGTTCCTGGGATAGTTGCCAGGCTGGGAGCTTCCAGCCACAAAGCTGTAAATTAAACTCACTCAAGCAGTCTCTGAGAATAGAAACCACATGAGCAGGTTGTCTTCTACGATACCACTCCCCTTTTTCTTCTATTTATTCCCCAGCCAGGGAGGGGCATTCAGTGTCCACGTGTGCCTTTCTTCCCAAGTCAGAACCTGGTCCTCAGTTCTCCTCTCCTGACAGCTCTGTGCATGTGCACATCTGGAACAAGCCCCAGCTGTTCTTCTTCCCCACTCCGACTCCAAAGGCAACTGGGAAATGTTGGAGGGCCCTGGCTCTTTCTCTGCTTCCAACACAGAGCATCCTTCAGAGCCTTCCCCAGACTCCAGGACTGGCCCAAATTCCTCCCCAACCTCCTCCATGTCTGAGTCTGCCACCAGCTCCGCTGGCAGTTGGTGAGCCACAACAGACATGTTATAACAGGATTAGCTCCTGCAAGCAGCAGGGAAGGGTAGAATCGTCCTGGGCTGTTGTTGTTCATTGTTTAATGACCCCGTAATCCCTTGTGGATTGGAGTTGGGGCAACTGAACGGAGCTGAGTGTTTACTAGCCAGATGCCCTTCCTGTCGCCAATGCAGTTTTTGCAGCAGATATATTTTCATTGTGCCCAGAGAGAAATATCTGCCTGTACCTAGAATCAAATTCACAGCCTCCTAATTGTGAGGCGAGAGCTCCACCTCTAGGCCACTGCACCACTCCATTGTCCTGGGTGCCTTGGGTATTTATACAGTAATGGTGAGATGAGTCTCGTACAGAGGTCTCTGTAGTACAGGCACAGGGGAAGTACTTGCTCTGTTGTTTCTGTGCGTCCAGAGTCACAAGGCTTTTGCCTCTCTGGGGAAGGAGTCTTCCTGGATGCTGATCCAGCCTTCAAGCATCCCCGAGGGGAGGGGGAACATCTTGTCAAAGACCCTCCAAGACACAGAGATTTCAAGGTTAGTTAAGGGTGCCATGGGAGAGGCAGAACACCTGTTGGGACCATCCGTTATTTTGAAGACAGAAGAAAAAAAAATTATTACCCAAACCAGCATTTTGTGTGCCGCTCCTGAGAGAAACCATGGCAGTTTAGCAAGCTGCAGAGACTTCAAAAACGTGCTGAATTTTGCATTGTGAGGGCAGATTGCAAGACGCAAAGATGCTGCTCCTGCTTGCAGCCTCCAAACATCCATGATCCTTTGAGGATGAGGCGGGTGGGGGGTAGCTATGGTGGTTGGCATGAGAACAGAAGGCTGAGCTTCATTTCAATGGCCAGTCACTGGAGAAGCTGAACTTCCAGGCATAGCCTCCTCTTTCAAGGCCAGGTAAACGCCACAAACTGGCAAGAACTGCCAGAGGTCATCTATATGTTTTTAGTCAGATGGAGGCAGCATTCGTGTTTCTTCCTCTAAACCTATGTGGAATCTCCTTGCAGAAAGAGAGCTCTACGACGGGTGCAAGAGAGCCGCTATCATGAAGCTTATTGGGAACATTCCTCAGGAAGCGACAACACAGACACTGAAGACGCCTGACCTCATCTGCTACCTGGAGGGAGAAGTGGAGAACCGGCTGATCTCCAAGCCGTCCTCTTCTCATTCGCAAGCAATGTGGACAGCGGGAGGGCTAAATAAGTGAATTATTTTGCTGAGACCACCTGGATGTACACCTCTATCCAGCTGACCAAATGATGCTGTCCAGATTCCTTGCCACCATCTGAAGGACTTGAGGATCTGGAGCAGGTTTCGATTCCAGCCAAAGACAACCCAGTGGCTGTGGGGTTTAGCTGCTGCTATCCTTTCTCCGATCTGGATTTCAGATTCTAGATGTTCTGCTTATATATTAGTTGTTGTTTCTTTTTTCTTTTGCTTCCTGGTGCATTTCTGTGGTAAC